TTCCAATTCGGTCTCCTCCTCTGAGAATAGCATGGAGGCTGCCCTCAGCCTGCTAATGATCCCGGATAACCGTGTAAACCTGGCTTTGCCACCAAAGCTTTAACCTAGACATGCATCAACATCAGCATCGTTATAATACTTGTGGATGCAGTGATCCATTTCCACACAAGCATATTTGTGTTTTGTTTTTTGCCTAACCTTCTAAAATTTCCATACCAGACGCACCAAAGGGCAAACTGTGAAGCAATTTCTCCTCTGCACGCTAAACACTTTAACAAAAATGCACATGAATTCAACTTCGTTTGCTTTCCGACGAGCAGAGGATGAGAGCAAAGTCAAATGAGGACAAACTTTCGCAGCAAAATTCAAGCCAAGCACAAGCTAGCACAGTATGGATCCAGTGCTGTGAAAATGTTTTTGTGGCACATGAGCAGGCTCCCATACACATTCATAAACTCATTTTAATACCAAGTCAGCAGCACAGATTACCTCCCATTTCAATAGCGTACAGCCGCTTTATGGTTGATTCTGTTATTGTTTTGTTGTTCGTGAGCGCATTCGTTTTGAACATTTGCACTAAAATACACCTAATTTACTTGATAATTGTCTCCTGTCCACTGAGGAACGTTTTAATTGCCGAGTCTCGGAGAGAAAGGACAGCGGGGGAGGGAACGACGACGTGCAATCTGGATTTCAAAGCTAGTAGCGACCCTGACTGGCGAGAAAAGCCATCCACCCATCGCCGTTTCTCCTTCCCGTTGAATGCCGTCAATTTTGTTTGCATCTTTTTTTTTTTTTCGTCCACAGTACAAAGATGTGAAGTTCTTTTACCTTATTCAGTATCTTAGTCTTAACTGCAGAATTGTCTTCTGTCGCCTGATTGCCAAAACGTTAGCCAAAGAAGAAACAACGGTTAGCTCTCTGTCATTTTAAATTCACATCGTAAGAACATTCCCTTTTGATTTGATCCATACAGTCCCTGAATTGTTTTTAGCATAGCAGCTCAATCGATTGATTGGTAAGTAGACGTGATGTTTTCTATAGCCATGTCCATGTCTGTACAGATCTGTAAATAACGTACACCGTTTTCATTGTTTCATCAGCCTAATGGTACCGTATCAGCTCAGCTGACATCTGGAACTCCCCTACACTAACATACTGAGAGTTTCTGCTTTTCTTTGCCAGCCCTTGAGGGACACTATAGCAGCTTCCCTGCACTGTTGACCTGGATGAAGTTGCCTACATTTGACCACTTTCAGGAGGATTTAACTATGATGACTAGACCGTTTTAACTTTAGTAGATGGTTTGTTCACCTCTAACTACTGTTCATTGCCGTGCTGCCTGGCAGCGTAGCCACCCATAGCTGTCAAGCTCGGGTTCTCTGGTGTCATTCCCACCTCCCTTCAGGCTTCTGCAGTGTGTGGTTCAGGCTTATTCTGGCATTTTTAGCTTTCATTAACTGCGCTGGAAGGCCGTCAGTGGTGTTTTTAATATATTTTACCCATAGCTTTTGGTAATTTAAAAGGAAGATATTAACATTGTGCCTCATCTCCCACCGAGCCTGTCTTGACCTTTTCTCTATAAATGAAATCGTTTGAAAAACTGCTTTGTGTATGTCTGAGCATGTAAAGCTAAATTGATAGTTAAAGTCTTTTTTTGAAAATCGTACCTGAATATTAGAGGAACTAAGGAAAAACTGACTCATTGAGTATTGAAAGGATAGTACTATGCGAGTTTATTTCCGCCATGGAAACACAACAAAAATTGTGACGTTTGAATTACACAATTTTGACTTTTTCCTCACAATTATGTGAAAAAGTCAATTGTGAGATGTACACTCAGAATTCTGAGAAAAAAAAGTCAATTGCAAGATGTAAACTTGCAATTATAAGTTTATAACTCGAAATTGTGAGATGTCAACTCACAATGCTGAGGAAAAAAATTAGAATTGTGAGAGATAAACTCACAATTTGTACAAAAAAGGTCAAAATTGCAATGCAGATATTAAGACGCAATTACCTTTTTAATTTTTTTTTTATTCCTTGGTGGAAATAAGCTTCCATGGTTTACTCTGTTCAAAATGCAGCATATGAAAAAATTATGTTAGGAGTCAAAAATAAATCGGAACATGTAGATGGCCCTTCATGATTTGGGGTTCACTAAAAGTGGTTGTGGTGTTTCTATCAAAATACAACCTGTACTTTAAAAAAAAAAAAGACAGTGTGAAGTTCCACTTTAATGAGTTTAAAGTGAAATATGGTTTGATTTTAAAACTGTTTGGGGCTGAGGATCAGATTTAAAATGCACAATTGGAACCTCCGTTGTCAATAAGGAATAACACAACTGCTGTTTTAGTGTCATTTTGGGAGTTTTACTACAGGGAGGAGTGTGGTCTGATGGGCTGATTGCCTGCCCAATCTCAGGTGGATGTTTTATTTTTAATGCCAGGAGCAAGTGAATGCTTAATTTTCATCAAATAAGTTTTGGCTGTATTGTTTCCTCTTCAGACTTTGTCCTATTTTTGCATCGGAATGAATGAATGATCGTCCTGAGGATTGTAATTAGAAATGGACAACCTCCATACAGTGTAATGCGCATATTAATGCTATGTATTGTATCCCTCTATATTGTATGTTCTTCCCCATCCTCTAAAGTGATTATTTTTTGTGGATTCAGTACATTTAACCCATTTCTGGAAATGGGATGTATCCTCGATTAAAAAAAGTGTGTATCTAAATTGATTGCAATGTGGTGTTTTGTATCTCAGATATTTTTACTTCTGTAGATTTAAGGAACATGTACGCGGAAGATCAACATTATCCAGCATTTTTTTGTTGTTTCATTTTTTGTTTTGTTTTTAAAGCAATAATCGTTGTGTTGATGGATAATAAATCAGAATGGTCTGGTGTATGTTTGTCAATAGCTCAGAATGGTGCAACAATACTGTGACCATTAGATTTTAGTTTCCTCGTTGAATCTACTGAAAGCATTATCAATTTTTTTAACTGCTAATTTTGCATTTTGTTCATTAAAACTGTTACAGTGTGTTCAACAAAAATATTTAAAGAATGGATGTAATAAATATGGAGGGAAAGAATGGATGCATCCTTTGTCTTTTGTTAAAAACATCTTTTTTATTCACTTTAAAACAAGCTCAAAGTGTAGTAGTATGTTCATGTTCACAGCAGGCTACTTACTAAATTCAATCATTTAATTCAGTTTAATCTAAATCCCAAAAACAGCAGATCATCCAAAACAATACAGCACAATAATCAAAGAAAAATTGTTCAGTTTGATAAATAGTACCATTTTTCTAATAAAGAATATATACAGTAATAGTCTGTTCTATGATACATACCCCAGTACTTTTTTGCAAGAGAATATCAGTATCAACATAACATTAGTGTCCATTTTGTGCATACAAAATGTGTCCGATTCCCTTGGGATTCCTATACAACAACATCTTTATCATTTTGCTGAAGTCTACAGTAATAGAGGAATAGTTTGAGTGAATGATACAGCTGTGAAACATTTTTAAAGAACCATCTACAGAACTTTTGCAAGTTTTTTTTCTTTAATTTTGCAATTTTTTAAACAGTCTTTTAGATGGATAGTTTACCCTAAAATAATCATTTACTCATCTTCATGTTGTTCCAAACCTGAAATGTTCATATACATTCAGATATTGCGTGTGTCAACACAGATCACTCCCAAGTGTGAAACCAAGTCATGGCTTGAAGGAGATTTTCAGTGAATAAAGACTTAAATATCTCACACAAAGCTACTATATTGCTTCAAATAACATGGAATATAGCGTAAGAGGTGCACAAATCACTTTTTAGAGTATGACAATTAAGGACCATTAGATGTCTCTTTGTATAGAAAAGAGCAGTCCAACATCCTAAAATAATCATATAAGGAAGTCCGCACATGATATGCGGGGAAAAAACTATATATTGTGGCCATGAATAAAGAAATAGTTACAACAACTCGCTCCTTCATTTTAGATCAATCATGGCCAAGTTGTACTAATTCATTGCCTCATTGTAATTGTTAAATTGTGGTCACGATTTAACTAAAATAAAGGAACAATTGAATAAAACGTAGCTACAATTTAAGAATTTGTTCCCACAGCATAATAATTTGTGATTAATTGTTATTTCATTTGAGTTAAATTGTGGCCATGTTGTACTAACCTCATTTTAGTTTAAACATGGCCATGATTTAACTAAACCAAAATGAGGGAAGGAATTTTCTCATAGCCATGGTTTGATGTTTTATTTTCAAAGTACATTCATTATCTTGGAGTTAATGTTCCACAAACACTTTCAACCCATAGTCGTTGTTCCTAAGCTTCTCCTTTGCCTTGTTCTTAGCTGTCTTCCCAATCTTGTCGCTCCACTGAAAGGGAAAAACCGTGGGATCCTGACTGCTATGACACTGAAGGTTAGGGTCATGAAGAAGGTTCCACATGAGCCAGATCTGTGGGACCGTCAAGCTGTGCACCACCATCAGCTCTCTGTAGAAGCAGGGGTCGAAGACCTGGAGGTGGGGTGCAGCAGATGGTCTTACAATTCCAAAGGTGCGGAAGCCCTCGTGACGAGTCGGCTGAAGGCCGATCCTCAGTAGACACATGCCTAAGAAGACATCATCAATGGGGAAGAGTTCCACCTCTTGGCAGGCGAGGTGGAGCTTCAGTGCGGTATGTCCTGACATGACAAAGCCACCTCCACCCGCATAAGACGGGTAGATCCCCTGGCCGTAAATAAACTCTGGGACAAAGTACTTACTGTTGCGTCTGCGAATTGGTTTCGCATTGACGATGATGTCGCCAACAAAAAGATCCTTACTGATCTCTTGACCCTCAAGCATCTCCAAGATATTGTCAATGTTCACATAAACATCAGCATCACCCTTAAAAATAAACTTCACTTTGGGACAGCTCACATTGATCCATTGTAGGAAGTGGATTTCTTTTAGTGTCAAGTTGAAGAAGGTGTCTTCAAAGTCCCACAGGAGGATATCGCTAAAAGTCTGACTCTCATATCCCAACAGTTTGTCCCATAATGGGAGCGCTGTTTGATTTTGGGGCACACTAAGAAGAAAAACTCTCTTGACGTTCATGTTTTTCTGGGACACACCTTCTTGTCCCCATGTGCGTCGAACGACCTGACGTTTGTCAAAGTCCGTTGCTACTGATTTTATGGCGATCAGAATGTGAGGGGCTCCTTCTGGTCCAGAACACTTTGTTGGTTGATCAATTAGCAGCTTGAAGTCCCGTTGGTCTTTCTTTCGAAGGTAATCGTCAAAGTCAAAGGAAGCATGTGTTGGTTGCAGACTTGCTGTCGTTGGGGGCTGGCGAAATTTAGACTTTGCTTTGCTACGTGCTTTTTGAGACTTGACCTTTGATGGTTCTTGTGCTTTAGGCTTGATCTGAACCTCAGGTTTGCAAGGAGGTATGTCTGGATATTTTGAAGAGACCGGCTTTGTTTGCTGTCCCATTGATGCTCCACTGAGAAGGGGTCTCGACCTGGTGGACCCCTGTTCAATGTGCAAAGTCCCCCATACGGGCGTTATTCTTTGATGTGCATATAACAGCAGAAAGAGAAGCACCAGCAGAATCAGGGAGCAAAGCACATCTCCCTTTATATAGACCCTTCTCATGGTGTTACAGGTTTCAGTGTTATTCTTCCTAAGAAATTCTGTTGAAGTCTCATATTCCTCCTAAAGTATTTGGATTTTCTCACAGCCATAGTAGATTCTGTACAAAATAAATGAACAGCACTAGTATTTCCTCCTAAAAATAAAACCTTAAAATGTCTTTTTTTTTAAATAAAATTTACAGTCGTTAAAGTCAATTTCTTATTGTGTAAGATATGTCCGAGTATGACTTACCACAGTCATCCTGGATGTCACGAAACAACAGGAGACACAGGATATTACTTGACCAAAGTTATGCTCCATAAACAGCCAGGACCGCATACTTCTATGAAACAGGATACGCAAACAAATTATAACAGGATCCACATCTGACATCTGTGACAAACTTGCAAACTTAAGAATCTTTTCTGGCACTTCAAAGTAAAATAAATGGTGATATTGTTGAAAGAGCTTAAACTGGTGTCTCTTTCATGTGCGATATCCACAGAAAAGTTGGAGTTGCTTTCCAAGTTCTCAGTCAGTTTTTAAAAAGAAGCCTATCACAACAAAGTTCAATGTGTCAACACCACAAAATACCTCTTTATTTTTTAAGATGTAAATAATGCTTCATTCCTCAAATCCTCTCCTAAATGATTGAGAGGGATTCCGAGTATTGTGAGGCTACATTTACATTTACATTTAGCAGACGCTTTTATCCAAAGCGACTTACAAATGATTGGAAAATGATCAGAAAATGACTATTTTGAAATATTTCCCCTTAAGTTTGTCAGACATTTGTCCTGCAGTCTGATGATAAAGCCTGCTCTTGGAAATTTTTATTCGTTCCATTCTTAACATCGTTACGCAAGTAGGCGGTGAGTTTCTTTTTTGTGTCGAGTCATTGAATCATTCAGTCATTCGATTCGCCAGAAAAGACCATAGTCGAGTTGCCTGTCTATAAATGTCCTAAAACACCCCGAAACAGTTTAAAGCATTTATTTCCACATAAATTACAACATAGAAACACGTTTACTGTATTTGCTCTATAACTGACTTTCATCATGCTTTGAATGAACAAAATCTGGTTCAGTTCGAACGACACTGGTCATTATTTGGACCTCTGAGCCTCGAAACTCAAAACAGCGACTCTTATGAATCTGTGCATGGTCTTGAACGCGAACAATTTGTTCGCTTAAAAGATTCATTCAAAAACAAACGAGGCTCTACATTAACTTTTTTTTTGGCACTCTTTCTTGTGTAATTCAAACATTTAAAATTCACTTTAAACATATAATTATACTTTTGGATAAAATCTTTTAGGCTACCTCATATGCAAACTTATGCTTAAACCCTTAAGGCATACAGTTATGAATGTGCACATGCTTTTATTTTTCAAGTGCATTCATTTTGCATTACATTTTCGCGTTCAGTCTTGTTTAGAACTGTCTTATAGTGTCTCAAACTTTCATTTACAAGACTTACCCAGATGAAGGTGTACCAGCAGAGCTATGACAAGACAGCACTGCAACCAGATCCAAACATCTGCTTCCACTATTAAAGCTGCTGCAATCCACCGTTGCGTGTGCATGCTTCAGAAAAGCTTTTCCAGCTCGCTGAAAGGCGCTACGTTACTAAATACATAAACTTTCTTCATATCAGCCATGTTTCGGAGGACTGATGAGCAGTCATAAGCGCAGGACATTTCTAAATGCACATTTTCAAAGAACAGCTCGTTCGTTGGTCACGTGACAGCTCCGAGATTGTTGGATGCGTCGCGCGCCAGATGCCAGCGCAGCAACTGGAAACGCTTTTGGGAGCGAGGACAGGGAATCGGTACGCGCACGAGATTTATACATTTGTAGACTCGTGTCCCATAGCTGCGCCTTTCTGTTCTCCGTAATGGAAAACAAACCAGCTTCAGCTTCAGTGTTAAACAGCACAGAGGAAGAAAACAGATACATTTATATAATAATTTAATTCAGAAGTTGCTTGTATACAGATAAAATAGCAATGGTTTTACCCACACACACATTGCCTTGGTACACAAAATACAGTCTCTTTGGCTATCAATTTGTCTAAGACTTTACAGTACTGACAGACCAACCCAGTTATTCCTCTAACACAAAACTGCTGCCAGGTGAGGGCTGGAATCCAGATATATCCCCTCATGCAGGCCTTTTTCATTCCCACCAAATTACAGGGCACTTTCCAAGCCAGTTTTGAGGTCTCTGTGGTCTGATATTCCAGACTTTTGTGCTTGAAGATCATTTAGGACCAGATCTTCCTCAAGACGAGGCAGTCCCTGCTTTCATGATCTTGAAAAGAGCATTGATGTTGTTGTTCTTGATGGCATCCCGACAGGCAGTGATAACCTGAGTTTTGAGTTTTCCCACTGAAAAATATATAATAGGCCTATATAATAAATAAATCTGGCACAAATAACTAGCAGACAGCAGAGCAAAGCATGTCCCGATATGGTGTGATGTGAAAACTATGAATACTCACTGACTACCACAGATGTGTCTTAGAAAAATCCACTCACCTCTCAATCTCCCTGCCCTTTGGATGGCCTGGTTAACTGATTTTAGCCGGGCAAGGAGGGCGTTGTGATTATTAGATCTGATTTTATATTCATTAATCAGATCTCTGTTGAGGTCGTACAGCTCAATGTAGCGTTTCTTCATGTTTCTCCTAGAAAACAGTATCATTTATGTGTGTACATTTGTCTTGAGAAAGCGAGAGGACTGATTAATCAAACTAGGGATGCTTACCAATCACCCATGAGTCTGGCATCTTCTGCCTGCACCAGCATATTTCTTATGTAGTTGGAATGATCTGCCATTGCTGCTGTGAGCTTTTGATGCACCGAGTGAAACTCATCCACCTAACATGAACATAAAGGTTATTTACAGCTAAAAATTTTTTTTCAAAAATCTTTATGGAGATGCTGCTATTTCTAACCTCAGTGAGAGTGGCTCGTAGCTCTTTGAAGTAGATAGGAAAGTCAGCTTCAGCCTGCAAGTCTTCTATAGCCAGAAAAGAGGCAAGAGACTGGACCAGATCTCCTGCCAGATCAATGTCATCTGTTCTCAGCGTGATCTAATGAGGCAAAAATAAGTTAGAGATTTCTGAAACATGAAGAGAAATTAGCTCACAAATAATGACACACACACACACACACGTCTGGTCAGCTATCCTTGTGGGGACTCTCCATAGGCGTAATGGTTTTTCTACTGTACAGACCGTATATTCTATTGCCCTACACCAACCCTACACCTAAACCTACCCCTCACAGGAAACTCTGCATTTTTAGATTTTCAAAAACTTAATTCTGTATGATTTATAAGCTTTTGTACCCGTGGGGACCACAATTTAGGTCCCCACCGTGACACGAGTCCCCATGAGTCAGTGTGTATTCAGGTTTAAGTCCCCACCAGGATATATAAACCTGTACCCACACACACACACACACACACATTAAAAGTACCTCTCCACTAGGCTGCATGTTGATTTTCAGTAGACCTCCTCCACGTAGTGCAGTGAATGTGATGTCTGGACTGTCAATGCCCTCAGGCAGCAGAAAGTTCTGGTTTAGCCACATGACCACCTGCAGACATAGATGCATGCCTCATATCTCATCATATTTCATCAATATAGTTTTTTTTGTCATGTCATGCAACACAGTTCCATTATGAGTGTGTCCTTTTACCCTCTGTGGTCTGTCATTGATGCTGAATGTGACTTTTCCTGTGGGTTGTACGGCTGAGGGGTCAACGTTAAGGTCATACATGGAGAAGCGAGGCAGCTGACGTGTGATCTCAAATACGTGGAACTGTGTACTGGAGTAAATGGGGAAGAAGAGAGAAAAAGGAGAAGCGATTTATGATACCTTCATCTTAAACTTCAAGTAACCGCCGATTTTCAAGCATGTTTGGACATTGAATGAATCCTCCAAATGTAATCCATATAATGAAATTTGTCAATCGTCATGATGATATTCCACATGTGTGTACCTTGTCTTCCCTCCCACAAAAGCTTTAATGTGAAGGTCCACTGGAATGTCTTTTGGAGGAATGATGGGGACACGGACACAGCCGGAGAGATTTTGAGCGCTAGGATGAACCAAAAAAAAAAAAAAAAATCACTATTATCATTTAAAGCTTTGTCTATGGAGCACCACACATGACATACAGGATAAAAATACTGTGACAATTAATTAAGATTTCATTCTATTATTTTAACTCGTGGCCACACTGGACTAATTTGTTTCCTCATTTCAGTTAAATTGTGGCCATGTTTTATTAATTTGTTCCCTCACTTGTGTGAAATCTTGGCCAGATTTTTAAATTTGTTTCCTCGTTTTAGTCAAATTGTGACTGTTATGTTAATTGTTGCCTCCTTTTAGTTCAATCATGGACATGTATTATTAATTTTATTCATTCATTTTAGTTATAGGCTATTAATTAATTCCATAATTTTATTTGTATTAAATCGTGGCCACAGTATACCTAAATCAAGGAATTAATTCTTTATTTATGACAACAATATCTGAGTTGACATATTTTAATGTGGCTTGTTAGACTGGCCTATATATTTTTATAAAAAAACTATAATAGATCAGTTGTAGTGCATGTGAATAGTGTTGCAACAGAGTTAAGTTGGATTAACCGTACCATTCGGAGTGGAGATGTTGAGCTCTATGTGTGCTCTCTGGCTCTCTGTGGCTCTTCGTACAGACAAGGCTGTCTGGAGCTGCGTGTTGGCTGGAATTACTCCCATCTTAGATTCGCCCTCAGAAACACCAGGAAGAGCCTAAATCAAACAAATCTCACTGACCAAAAACTGCCTCTGGAACATCAATGTCCATCAAAAACATTTAAACTATAGCATGTATAACCTTAGCATTTTCCTCATAGTTTCGTAATTCCAGCATCAAGTTCTGTTTACGTTGGCTCATCTCCCTGATCAGGTCTTGTTCTACACTTGCATCCATTAGGTTTCCCTTCATCTCCTTACTTGCAGGCAGATAGCCACGTACTGTAGGACGACACATACATTTGATGTGCCAATTTTCAAAGGCAACATGCATTTACGATTAAGTTCTGTCATCTTACCTTCTCCCTCCACAGAGGTGCATATAAGCTGGATCTGTCCATCCATGCGGTAGTCTCCCTCGACAACCCCAGCCACAGAGGATGAGAAATTATCCTTGAAGATCACCTCACCAGTGCGATCACTGCGAGCATCAATCTAGACAGGGAATAGTCTCATTTGATCAGTACGGCAAAAACCTTATAAAGGAAAATATGAGTGTCAATGCTAAAAGACTGACCTTTCCATTGGACCACCCAGTAATGAGCTCAACAACACCATCAGCATTAAGATCAAAGGCATGGATACTCATAGCGTGATTTTTAGACTGAGAAGAAGAAAAAAAACACACAAATGATTTTTGACTCATTTGTGTTGATGCATAATCATGCTCGTCTAGAAAAAAGGATGATTCAGGTTTAGTTTTTATTTTCAGAATATTCCGAGTTTTAAACCATAGTACAATAACTCTCACAATGAAAATGAAGAAAATAAATAATATTAGGTTTAGTTTGAATGGACCACTATGCACTACCTTGATCCTCCAGTAGCGGGCAGTGCGGTCGTACACTCCTACTGTACCATTGGCCAGAGCATAACCAAACCTGCTGCCGTGCATGTGACAAAGCGACGTGACTGTCTGAAAGGAACAGAAAGCAACAACTGTATAAATAAGAAAAAAAATCCCAAAAATTGCCCAATTATTAACCAACTTATTTTCATAACACATACCTCATTTTCTGCCATTTCAGTCACTAGTTCATCCTCTCTAAACACCCTGATGTCAAAGTCATCTGAGCCAACGAGAAGCTGGAAAGATGTGATGTAAATATGAAGGTGAATTTATAAAAGCAGTATTTTATAAATCAAAACAAATGTATTTTGTCATTATTAAGTGAAAGCGAAAAGTATAATGCCTCACTTCATTCTTGCCATCTGCAGTGAAGTCACAAAGCACAAGTGATCGCACATTATCTCCAGTGACCTTTAAAAAAATAAAGGTATATCTATGAATATCCTTTTTTTATATATATATTTTGAAAACACAAAGTAAAATGATCTTACTGTCCAGAACTGGTCATTTCCCTCAAAGTCAAAACCTTGCAGAGCACAATTTCCTCCAATGATGGCGAGGGGGGACTGGATATCTCCTAGTTTTCCCAGAACAATGGCATTGGCCCCATCAGTCACCTGTTATGCAATAAGCATGTAACAAACATTTCTGTCTTACTTGGATAAGAACCACTCATAAATATAATCTATTAATTTCCTGATATAAATAACCTAAGAAATCCACTATAAATTAAGGATTTTTTTTTTTTTACATATCTGTATATTGTATATGAGACATGCCATATAAACCTTGCCTTACCTCCTTGTAGAAGATGTCAGTGTTGTCATGAACATCATAGGCCAACAGGTTGGTTTGAGAGCCAACGAGCAGCGTGTGTCCTGTGGTGTTGGGCCCCAGAGTACCAGCCGTCAGACAGCTCACTGCCTGGTTGATATTGAGGAGTGAGATATCGTTGTCCTGGGTACTCTGACTCAGCCGGTGGGCTGCTGGCCTCTGGCCTCGAGTGTGAGGGTTATGGATAAAAACCTGCATGGGTTTAGAAGTTAGACTTGATGGTAATGTATGGAAAAACACAAATAGATAAAT